GAGACATGAATTTATATTGTATTTATTTACAGAGGTATATTATGTCACTCTTCACACTTCTCTAGTAAGTTTCGTCTGTGTGTGAAGACAGTAACGCAGATCCATGAATGAATGTTCCGAAGTGAAATAAACTTCAACGGAATAAAGATGAATGGAATTGAAATGAATGAAAGTTTAATAAACTTTACTGTTCAGTGCACTGATGTCAGACTCATTTTAAGGCCATATCTGCAGATGAAGCTTTTTTTGTAGAAGCACTTTTTAAATTTGAACTAGCACCTCATGACTACACCACGTTATGTACAAGAAGCTGCAAAAGACACTGGCTCAAGTGGAATGTAAAAAACATGGTGACATTCATTTTTAAGTAAATATAATGGGTGATATATTGCGACACCAAAAATTATTGAGGTCAGGTACATACGTATATTGCGCGATAAGTCGATATATTGATTATTGCAACAGGCCTAATCATGTTGCTAGCATGATTTATCACGTTACTAGCGTATTTTAGCATGTTGCTAGCATGATTTAACATATTTTGATGTTCCTAGCATGTTTTCTAGCATTTGTTTAGCAGGATTTAACATGTTTTATCATGTTTCTAGCATGATTTAGCATGTTTTCACGTTTCTTGCGTTTTAGCATGTTGCTGATATGATTAAGCATATTTTGACATGTTTCTAGCACGTTTTCTTGCATGTTTCTACCATGTTTTTTAGCATGATTTAACATGTTTTATCATGTTTCTAGCATGATTTAGCATGTTTTCACGTTTATTGCTTGTTTTAGCATGTTGCTAATATGATTAAGCATATTTTGACATGTTTCTAGCACGTTTTCTTGCATGTTTCTACCATGTTTTTTAGCATGATTTAACATGTTTTATCATGTTTCTAGCATGATTTAGCATGTTTTCACGTTTATTGCTTGTTTTAGCATGTTGCTAATATGATTAAGCATATTTTGACATGTTTCTAGCACGTTTTCTTGCATGTTTCTACCATGTTTTTTAGCACGATTTAACACATTTTATCATGTTTCTAGCATGATTTAGCATGTTTTCACGTTTATTGAATGTTTTAGCATGTTGCTAATATGATTAAGCATATTTTGACATGTTTCTAGCACGTTTTCTAGCATGCTTCTACCATGTTTTTTTTTGCATGATTTAACATGTTTGATCATGTTTCTAGCATGATCTAGCATGTTTTCACGTTTCTTGCATGTTTTAGCATGTTGCTAATATGATTAAGCATATTTTGACATGTTTCTAGCATGTTTCCAGTTTAACACGTTTTATCATGTTTCTAGCATGATTTAGCATGTTTTCATGTTTCTTGCATGTTTTAGCATGTTGCTAATATGATTAAGCATATTTCTAGCATAAATTGGCATGTTACTAACATGATTTAGCACGTCGTCCCAGAGTATCCGTTAAGCTTTACTAGTGCTAGACAACTTAAATACACTATAAGTCTTACAAAAGTACAAAAGTTTTGACCCCCTCAATGAAAGTTTTTATTTTATTATTGTTTTGATCATCGGGTTTACGAAAGCTATAAGTCAGATCAGTTTAAGATATAGCAACCTGAGTCAGACCAATCTGAATGTCTGACCTGAGTTTTGGTGGTTGTAGCTTGAAAACTTTAAGAGGAGATACAGACTAAATTTAGTCTCACATGAAGAAGAAGAAGAAGAAGCTTAAGTAGGATTTCATTATGTTAATAACAAAATTCCTCACACCATGAAACCGCCCACCACTGCTCTTTCTGATTGACCTGAGGACTTTAAGTGTTAGCATGTCCCGTGTTCAGATGCTCCGTGTTCCCGTCCAGTCGGAGAACATGCTCCGAACATGCCAGGAATGTGAGGAATTCTGTGAGGCAGAGAGACCTCTGACAGACAGGAGAGCCGGGACACATAAACTCACTCCTGAGTGATGGATCCAGAGCGGGAGGGTGAGGTTTATATTCCTGTCAGAAAGTGAAGGCTAATATGAGGCACTGACGCAGAAACAAAAGCAAGGCAAATGCAGGAAAGCTCTGGAGATCCTCTGAGCACTGGGCTTTTCCTGAAGCTTGAACCTGTTTGTCTCTGCACTTTGGTTCCACTTGAAACATCAGAGATTTCGATAATGTGCAAATGGTTTGTTACGTCATTTGTCTTTTTTGATCGTTTTTCTGTTTCGAGAATAGATCATAAGATACTGTGTGAATGAGTGGCACATTTTCTTCTGCTACACGTACTCAAGCACAAGTCTCACTATATGAGCACATGAACACGTGTACTTCATCTCCAGAGCTGCTCTCCGAGTCACTGCACCAGCATTTCACCCTTTCATTTGAGCAAAGCTATCGTCAAATACATTTTCTGAATCTGATCTTCACGGCAAACCACCAAAATAAAAGTTTGCTTTAACTTGAAGAAATTATGGCAGACATATTTCAATATTGCTTGAATTTAATCAGTAAACCTCTGTTGTGCAGCACATTTTTGACAAAATGAAAATGCAATGATGTGTTGTAAAGGAATTGTCTATTTTCATTTTAATACATTTTAATAGACTAATTACATAAAAAGATTCAATTTTATTTGATTTGATGTTTTTTTATTATAAATTTATAGTAAATCACAAAACACAAAATCCTGATTTCAAAGGGGCCAATTTTTGTTAAAGTTGTAATAAATTAATAAATTTAAATATTAATAAATAACGGTACACAAACATGATGGTTCGGAACGTACCTCAGTTTTGACGTCATGGTTCGGTATGGTTTCAGTACAGTTTTTAAATTAAACAATGGTTTACTGAAGAAATTGCTTTTTCTTTAAATAAATTCAATTACAATTAAAATTTTTCCTAGGGATAAAAATATACCTCAGCTCCTGCTCTAAACTACAGGGAGCCCTTTTACATTACTATAAGATTACAGCTAACAACAGAGCCCAAACTTAAATTCAACTACTATTTTTTTTAACTATAATAATCAACACTCAAATAATTCAAATCAACAACTCAAATTGTACGCAAAAATGTAAATTGCACATAATGCAGTTTTTAAATTAACTTTTAAATTATACAATTTATATTTGTTGTTGAAATAGTCATTTACACAGTGGCTGTAATGACTTGTTTCATAAAAGATTTATCTAAACATACATTAAATAATAAAGACATCATTAACTGGTAAAGTAAAATATAATGAAGAATATAGTCTAATATTTCTAAAAATGCTCTTCTCTAGACTTCATTTCCCTAGCAAATAACGAGCTGTGGACACTGATGACTTGCCTGAGGAAAATTAAATGCTACGTGGCATTTTGTTTACAAGCTGTTTTAATGACGTCTTTCCACGGTTGAAACACTAATTAAACGATTACATGAGATGTTCATTAATGTTTATTTCACGTTAAAACTAGTAATAAAGAGGAAAGAGATGATTATGCGCTCACTCGCACTCTGCCCTGCCAAGGCTTCTATACAGCGATCTGTCGCGCCTCATCAAAGAGTGCCAAAACGGCATTTATTGTCTGAATTTCCTGAAAAAATGGAACGAGTTGTTTGGTACATGTGCGCACCGAACCGAAAAACCCGTACCGAAAATTTTCGGTACAAATACATGTACCGTTACATCCCTAATTTTCAGTAAAATTAGTTCTTATTTATTTAAACCATTAATACAGAATTTACAAAAAGTTAAAATGGAAAACAGAATTGAAGAAAAATTAAGCAGACATATTTATAAAACATTGGATAAAGATATATAAATTGCCATACATTTAAATCAACATAGATTAATAAATGCTGTAAAAAATACTAATGTTCATACCTAACACATGTTATTGTAAAAATGTTACCGTTCCCATGTTTTTTTTGGCAAAAATAAAAGCCTACAGTAAGTATGATGAACTGTATTACTTGATGAAAGAATAATTTTGAAATGCAATATGCAGTGCCTAAAACACAATTAACCATGGTAAAGTCATCATAATGCTCTCCCTCATGTCGATTTTTGCCATAATAAACCATTAAACGGTGCAGCTGCTTATTACATGACTACTTATCAAATAAATAAATGCATAAATATTATTAAATTATTATTGTTATTTATTATATAAGAAAACTTTCCTTCTCACACAACCACTGCCAATAAATACATATAAAAAGTTACTGGGTTTCTTACATAAAAATGCATTTATCTTAAAATATAGCATATTTAAACCTTTTTTTGTTTGTTGAGCAGTCTAAATTACTTGTACTTGAAGACATCTGTGAAGATGGTTTGTAGTCATCCTGGTAACTGATGTGTCGTTTTGCCTCCTCAGGCGTTTATGATGGAATTGACAGCCCACCAGAGCAGCGTGGGTAACGTCTTACAGGCGGGAAACCAGCTGATCGCTCAAGGCAACCTGAGTGAGGAAGAGGAGGATGAGATCCGAGAACAGATGACACTGCTCAACTCCCGCTGGGAAAACCTGCGGGTCGCCAGCATGGACCGTCAGTCCAGGTACGGACGCACACATTCCTACCGAAGTCTTCTGTTTGAAGAGTGTGCTTGAATTTGTCATCTCTCCTTTGTCTTCAGACTTCATGAAGTTCTGATGAACCTTCAGCAACAGCAGCTCCAGCAGCTCTCTGATTGGCTGACGCAGATGGAGGGGCGGATCCGTAAGATGGAGAAAGAGCCAATAGCAGGAGACATGGAGGGATATCTTACCCAGATAGAGGAGCACAAAGTAAGAGAAGCATTTGATTCTCTAAGTAGGACTTGGTATAACCATCTATGTCATGGTGTGTCATGATACATTGTGATGCATCACAAAATTATAAAGTCTAAAAGGTTTATTGAATAGTTAAGTTAATAGATAAAAATATGCTGAAAATCTACTCACCATCAGGCCTCCTGAAGATGAGCGGATGAGTTTGTATGTTGAACAAATTTGGAGAAATGTAGTCATTTGCTCAGCAATGGATCCTCTTAAATGAATGGGAGCCGTCAGAATGAGAGTCCAAACAGCTGATAAAAACATCACAGTAATCCACACCACACCAGTCCACCAATTAACATCTTAGGAAGCCAAATACGAGTCCATAATATCTGATCCATGCATATTTCTCTCCTAATTCAGGCGAGATGACTTTTTCACTGGAGAAAGTGTTATGTATTATGGACTCGCATTTTATCTGGAAGCAACAGTTTAAAGTTAAAACACATTAATGATGAATTTGTTTATTATAAAAACAGCAGCTTTTCACTTCACACGCTGTTAATTGATGGACTGGAGTGGAGTGGATTACTTGTGGATTATTGTGGTGTTTTTATCAGCTGTTTGGACTCTCATTCTGACGGCACCCATTCACTGCAGAGCATCCATTGTAATGCTACATTTCTCCAAATCTGTTCTAAACAAACATTTGGGCTGAAAAGTAAACCAGTGTTTTTTAGAGTGTAACTTGATCACAATTTGAAAATGATTACTAAGAAACATGAAAAGAAAATTTTGAGACAAAGTGTATACTTGGCTTTGATAAAGTCTCCTAAAATAGCAACCTCTGATCAATAAAAAGTTCCCAAGGAGACTAGTAGTTAATGAATGATTCTCATCAGAGATCCCGTCTGTGTACACAACCTGTTCACAAATAAAAGCTTTCTCTTTCTGATGCCCAATGTGAATTTATCATGAATGCTGAAAGGATAGAGAGAGAGGGAGATTGAGTTGTGAGAAGAACGAATAAGCAAATCAACACGCCCCAGTGAACGAGGGGCAAACACGACCTCTGCGTGTTTGTTCAATTAGCGAATGGAGAACACACACACACGTTTGCTCCCACACACATGCTTACATTTAGGAGCCTCGCAGTCTCATAGGAAGGGTACCACATCACCCTAGTGCTTCCACATTATTTACGGAGACACGCAAATGTACACTTTCATACTTGACACAGTACAGAGTCAAAAAATATCCACCCCAAATCCTACCACATCAAACTTATTCTGAAAAACCTGTTAACAACATGCCCTGGGCAGATCTGACCCCAAATTAAAAGAAAGGTATTAGAAATTGTATCTAGATTTAACAAAATGAAACCAATATTTTGAATTACATGTAATAAAGTCTTTTGCATTATGACATTATTTTTATGTTTCAGCTTCCAGCTCTGTTTTATTTCCTGTAAAATAATAAATAAATACATACATACATAAATAAAATCACTGTCGTAATAATTGCAAAAAAAAAAAAAAAATCAATGATTATTATTATAATTTCAGATGATAATATGGCGATTGGTGATTTTGTAATGTTTTAATAAATGTGCATTTCCTCTTTTCTGGGTAAATTAAGAAACTTAAAATGTAATCAAAGTGTACTTAAGACCATTCCTTAACCTTTTGACCTCTTTTTCTGTGTTATTTCCTCAGGTTTTGCAGAATGATCTGGAGCTGGAACAGGTTAAGGTGAACTCTCTCACGCACATGGTTGTGGTCGTGGATGAGAACAGCGGGGAGAGCGCCACTGCTGCCCTGGAGGAACAACTGCAGGTAGAGGACAACATGCAGGATATAATGCTGAGTTTTTATTTGTTGTTTCAAAATGACTGTAATTATGAAATGGCTATTTAGAGAGTCTGGTCAGAGCTGTTATTTTCTTCAGACATACAAATTATAGAACTCACGTGTTTCAATTATAAAAAAAAATATTTGTAAGTGTCAGCTGTTGTTTCTTTTTTTTTTTTTATATTGCTTAATGTACATTACAAGACAGGGAACAACCAACAATGTAAGACACTTCCATTGAGACAAACACAGTTTACATTAAAGAGGTCCTATTATGCTCTTTTACAAAGTCTTGATTTTGTTTTGGGGGTGTACTAGAACATGCCCTCATGCTTGGTGGTTCGAAAAACACATTATTTTTCACATAATTTACATTATTAAAATACCTTTCTCCCCAGCCTGGCACAAACGGCTCGATTAGTTTGGGGTTTGATGATGGTCCGCCTTCCGAAAAACAAAATGTGTTGTGATTGGTTAGCTGTCCCTACAAAAATAAACACAAGGAGCAAGGATGAAAACAAAGATGTAGTCGATGTAGACATTATAAAGAAAAAAGATACTAAAGTAATACATATTTTGACAAAGAGAAGCATAACTTTTCAGATTTTCTATTATGTTTTTGAAGCATTTGAAGTTCTGAAACATTTGAGCAAACGCACATAAAAATATATTGAAGGAGGGTTTACTTTTTTTTCCATTTACAAGTATGGATATGATATTTACCCATCAACAAAACAAAATTTACAACATCAGAGAAGGATGAATTTAAATCACACTTAAAAAAGAGGACATCTTGTTGGGTTATAGGAGGAATTGTCTCCATTTTTACTGACAACCAACTATGTATATCGAACCAAAATTTAGAAGAAGCCTCACAGTAAAAGAAAAGGTGATCAAGTGTTTCAGGAAATTAAGAACAGAAAATACAAGGATCCACCTCGAAATATGAAATCGTTTTTGTATAAAGTCACTAACTGGGTAAATCCTAAACATAATTTTGTAATGAGTCTCCTTGACCTTTGGAGCAACTGGGTATGCCATATAACGGGTAAAAGCTTTGTCCTTTACTGAGGTTTCAACATCTCCCAGAAAATAACACTGATAATCACCAGTGATAATACGTTTAAGTTCTTTGTAAATAAGTTTGTTATCCCTTTGGAGTGGACTTTGAGATTTGTAACTTTCTAGATCTTTTTTATGCCCAAACATACACACTACACAGTGACTAACATTAAAAAAGTGAAAAAGCATAATAGGATCCCTTTAAAGAAGAAGAAGAAAAAAAAACATAAAAAAGAAATAAATACATAAATAAACACAAGGAGCAAGGATGAAAATTTAACGGGTAAAAGCTTTGTCCTTTACTGAGGTTTCAACATCTCCCAGAAAATAACACTGATAATCACCAGTGATAATACGTTTAAGTTCTTTGTAAATAAGTTTGTTATTACACTTACTGTCTAAAAGGTCAACATTACATATTTTCAAAGAGGGAAGAGAAACTACAGGTCTAGATAAATACTTTGGATTATTCTTAACAATCCAGTGGGTATAGCATTGCATACCTTATTATAACCTTTTATTGTAATTCTAACTCTGTATTTATTAATGAAATCATTATAAGATAAGAAAAAGCCATTATCATCTAATAAATCATGAATAAAAATAATGCCTTGGCTATACCAATCACTTTTAAACAGAGATTTCCTATTAATAATTACAGACCTATTGTGAGTTGTGAGGGGAAAAGTTGTGGGTAAATATCATTTTCCAAAAAAGCAGTACTTTAGATATAAATTAGATACCTTCAGAGGAATTTTGCAAGGTTTGAGATCACATCTCTACACAAATTCAAGGCCGCCAATATTTAAAAAAATGTGGTTAGGAATATGGTACTATATTGAGTGTGACTTTGTTAAACACTCTTTTCAACCATTTTATTCTGCATGTACCAAGAAGAGATTCAAAATCAATGGCTCTCAAACCTCCATGTTCATACTCTTTCACCATATGGAATTTACGTTAAAAAAAAGTGTTTTATTTTTCCATATACATTTAAATAAAATTGAATTCACCGATTTAACTACTCTTGGGGCAGTATACAAAGCTTGAGATAAATAAATAAGTTTAGATATTCCCTCAGTTTTAGTCAAGAGAATTCTACCCAATATAGACAGGTCTCGAGATAACCAGTGATTTAAGGATTTTTTCATACTTTCTATTTTAGAGTTCAAATTTGAGTGTTCTCTATTAACAACACTTTTTAGTAATCATAAACCCTAAATACTTAACCTCTTTTTTCACTGGAATGCCCTCTATAGCGTCTAAGTTACAATTATGGATCGCCATTAATTCACATTTTTTAAAGTTTAGAGTCAGACCTGATGCCTTTGAGAAGACAGAATTTTTTTCAATAACTAATGGAAGCACCTCTTTATTTTTAAGAACTAAAAGAGTGTCGTCTGCAAATTGGCTTATAGTAAAGGTCCTACCAAGAACGTCTATGCCTATATTATCCTCAACATTTTTTTATGAATAAAGACATTAGTTTGGCTGCAAGATTAAAAAGTAATGGTGAGATAGGGCATCCCTGACAAATTCCTCGTTTAATTTGGATTCTGAGTGATGAACCGACATTAAGAGAAACACTACTAAAAACATCATTATAAAACATGGAAATTACTTTACAAAACATAGGACCAAAACCAAAAGTTTCTAAGGATCTAAACAAAAAAGACTGTTCAAGGGTTTCAAATGCCTTGAAGAAATCTAGAAATAGAAGTAAGCTTGTCTGAGGAATTAAATAGTTATAGTCAAGCCTAGTCTAATATGACTGTGAATACTTCTCCCTTTGATAAAAGCCGATTGTGCTTCACTGATAATTTAACCAATAACCTTTTTTAGTCTATTCGCAAAAACATGAGAGAGCAATTTGAAATCATTAGATAAAAGTGTTATTGGTCTCCAATTGTCTAAAAATAATTTCTTTGTTTGACTTTGGAACTAGAATAATTAAACCATGCTTCATTGATGGTGGTAATTCAGCTTTATCTATACATTCTTTTAATGCTTCGAAAACTAAGATTCCTATTTCGGGCCAAACATATTTATATAGTTCTACTGTGGTGCCGTCAATACCTGGGGACTTTCCATTAAAGTGACGTGACATGTGGCCGAGTATGGGAATTAGTGCTCTGCATTTATCCCATCCAAAGTGCACACACACAGGAAAAAACGAGATCACAATCGTTTTCTGTACATTTAGATTTATATAAATCATTATAGAAGGAATATATGTAGTCATCAATTAGTGTTTTTTCTTCACTTATACAATTATTAATGCTAAGTTTATTAATAGTTTTTAGAGATTGTTTTTGTTTTTCTAAATTAAAGAAATATGAAGAATTTTTTTCCCCTTCCTCAATCCACCTGGCTCTAGATCGTATAAATGCTCCTTTAGCCTTTTCTGTATAAAAATCATCCAACTCTGATTGAAGAATGTGAAGTTCTTTTTCCTCACTCTCACTAAGGATGTCTTTATTACCGAAATAATTTAGTCTTGATAAAATTGTTGTCTGCCTATATTTTCTAGCATTTGCAATTTGTTTCCCATCTTTAATTACTAATTTTTAACAGTAAATTTGACCCATTCCCATTTGCCAATTGAGGTTAATTCAGACATGGTTTTTACATTGTTAATCATTAACAAAATAGAATTACAAAAAGATTCACATTTTAGTAAATTATTATTAAACTTCCAATGAGTTCTCGTAGACGTTGAGCTGCCATTACTCCTAAGAGAAAGTGATATGGCACTGTGATCAGTTAAAACTGAAGGAGAAATATTAGTCAAATGTAGAAGAAAGAAGATTACTAGTTATCAACCAAAAATCCAACCTGGAACGCTGAATGCGCCCTGAAAAGGACCCCCATGTAAATAGTTTTTTATGTGGGTTCTTTACACGCCAAACATCAATTAGATCAAGAAACTGAGATATATTATAAACCAGGGGTTTAACTCCCCAAAGGAGTGGGATATCTATCCTGCCATTCATCTGGAACAGCGTTAAAATCCCCTCCAATAATAATTTTGTCTGTAAAATATGTGTTCTTCCAGTCATCAATTTTTGTAGCCATATTCTGAAAAAAACAACTAATTATTAGTGGCCTTGTTAGTATAGCACCATAAAAAGTAGTAAAATAAAATGCATAGCCATGTTTGTGTTTTGCTGAAAACTCATTATGTCTGGCAGTCATTACTAGTAATATTCATTTTTCAATTAATTGTTCATTCCTGCCATCTGTAAGGAAATCTTCATATACTATTGTTTTAAGAGAAACATACATTATGGTGTGTGTACCAGTGTGCAATGTTGTTTTACTAGAGCTATAGAGATTAAGGTGAATGCTTTATGGTGTTCAAGGTGACTTGTTACATTGATTGCAGTAAAGAATGAACTTTACAGTAAGTTTCTTCTCACCTAAAGTGCAAACGTAATCAAACCAAGCTGTTTTCCATGCCTTTACTGATAGCGCCTCTAAATATTGAGATCTATTAATGTTGGACACAGTGCTGAGAATTAATTGGATGCAGCACAGCAAGAAACTTGGAACTGAACAGACATTTGACACTCCCAGAGGCCGTAAAAGTGTGTGAAAAATAATTCAGTGAATAACTTTCCTTCTTTTGTTTTTCCTTCTGTTCTTTACAGTCACTGGGAGAGCGCTGGGCGGCAGTGTGTCGCTGGATGGAGGAACGCTGGAATAAACTTGAGGAATTTCAGCTGGTGTGGCAGCGGTTGCTTGATGACCAGGTGAGGCCTGATACCAAAAATCCAACATTCCAGTGTAACAAATCACAAAATTGATGAGGCCCTTTTATACATGTTTTCAAATAATTGCAAATGTTAAAGGGGTCCTATTTTGCTTTTTCACTTTTTCAACTTGAGTTAGTCTGTAATGTTGCTGTTTGAGCATAAAAAAGATCTGCAAAGTTACAAAGCTCAAAGTCCACTTCAAAAGGAGATATTTTATTTAACAGAAATCACTTTTCAAAAACTACAGTTAACGATTCGTTTGGACTACAACGCATATTTTCTGGGATTTGTGATATCACAAATATCGACGAATGGGACGAGACCTGGTTGAGCTGCACTAGAGAAGGCAACGAGTGTTATCACTGTCGGAGACACGCTAGCTTTCCCAAGGCAGACGAACTTAGAGTGGTTACAATCATCCGGGTTTAAATCACGCTCAAATTGATTTGATTTTGACGCAACATTTACACTGAAGCTCGCAGGCGGCTATGGTAAGGGGCATGACATTTCCCGACCAGGCGCCGAGTGCTGCCAATCACAACACACATTGGCCCAGCTAACCAATCACAGCACGTTTCGTATTTCAGAAGGCAGGCCTTCATTTGAATCAGGAACTATTCGAGCCGTTCATGCCAGACTGGGGAGAGAGGTGTTGTAATAAGGTATCATATGTGAAAAATAATGTGTTTTTCGAACAACCTAATATGAGAGCCCGTTCTAGTACACCCCTAAAACAAAATCAAGACTTTGTAAAAGAGCATAATAGGACCCCTTTAAATTAAAATTAATTAATTAATTAATTAATTAAAATAAAAAAAATGTTTTCATGATCAATTTCTGTAGTGTTTGAGTACTTAAATATGTTTGTTTTTGCCCATCCATACAATAATTTCAGTCCAGCACAAACCTGAAGTTACTAAAGCTTCTGGTCAAAAAATAATCAGAGGTGTGCCTCAGGGCTCTGTGTTGGGCCCCATTGTATTGTGCTCTTATCTTGGACTTGGAATGTTCATTGAATGCATTTAAGGGTCATATTGCTATTTTAACAGTTTAGGCTGCATTCTGGGAAAGGGTGAGATTCAATTATGGCGGTTTATGACTTGCAGATACCATTACCATTGACCCATTACATCATTAGTGTAGAGTGCACCGCACACAATCTTATTTTCACACTTCCCCCGTCTGGACCACTTCCGTCAGTCTGCAAAACGAACTGTGATGTAAATCAGAGGATATTGTTTATGATATTACATTAAATTAATGCTTTTTATGCCAAAGTACTGTGTAAGGGAGGGTAGTATGGTTATTTTCTCTTTTTATTTGGAGCAATATGTGAATGATGAAGCATTTTTCTATTGGAGAATCAACTTTCTTCTCATCCATTCAGAGTTTATTTGGATCATGGCTAGCAGATAAGGAGAAGGCCTTGAGTGAAGTTCAGACGAGTGATTATAAAGACCCTAGTGAAATAAATGCCAGCGTCCGCAGATTAGCCGTGAGTAGACAAACATACATAATTTCATATTTGGAATTGTTTATTACTTGCCCATAGTTTTGGATATACGTTTAAATAACATAATTTTCTGAGAACATAAATCATTGTAATTTTAAGATTGTAAACTTAGGTTTTACAAATAACAACTGAAATCTTCCAGGTTGATAAAAGCATTGCTGTTTTGTCCTCTGACTCTTTGCAGAGTCTTAAGGAGGATATGGCCCAGAAGCGGAGGGCCCTGAGTGCTCTGTCAGATGCTGGACAGGATGTGATGGTGCTGTTAAACAGTCCAGCTGCAGCTCAGAGGATCGAAGCAGACACAGACCTACTGACTCAACGTTGGGACAACCTGGTCCAAAAACTAGAGGACTGCTCCAGCCAAGTCAGATAAATGCATCTCACGTGTTTATGTTAATGCACATTAGCTTTTTATATGACCTTGATTCCAAGCTTCTGTTCGGTTTCCAGGTAACCGAAGCGGTGTCCGTGACTGGGATGCCGCAGGTACAGGAGAAGATTTTCATGGAGACAGTCACAACAGTAACAACATGGATGGAGCAAACCTTCACCAGCAGTGACCGAGAGCTACCGCCACCTGCCCCACCAAAAAGACGACATCTTGATATCGACGGCGAGCTCAGGAGACTGTACGAAAAACACACCTCTTCCTTGTAAAAAAAAACACAGAAATCTGTTTTATCAGTCCCTCCAGGATTTTGAGATTTTGTCAAAATCAGTCAAACTTTGTATTTTTTGCTTGAATTTTTGTCTTATTTTTGCAATAAAAAAAAAAAAGTTAACTTGAGAGGGGTAAAGCAATATTAGCTCAAATCCATAGTTCCAAATCCAAACAAGTTATTTAATACGTGTTCAAAATGTGCTGCCACTTTATTGCAGTGAATTCCACTGTAACCATATGAAAGTGTTTAAATGGAAAGAAAAGTTGCAGTATCAGGCAGTCCCATTTGAGCGATATATAACTAACACAGATTTGTGAAAAATATTTGACAGAAATAGGCCTTTTGTGTACATAGAAAAAGTCTTAGATCTTTGAGTTCAGCTCATGAAAAATGGGGGCAAAAACAAAAGTGTTGCGTTTATAATTTTGTTCAGTGTGTGTGTATATATATATATATATATATATATATATGTGTGTGTGTATATATGTATTTATATGCGTATGTATATGTTACTGAATATAATGTATACTAGTCCTCATAATGAGTGATTTCACCAGTAACTATCATGAAATTGTTGCTTTCATCATGTGGCTTTGACTGTTCATAATGAGCCCATTTGGGAACCATTAGCATAAGCTATACAGTGTTTACATACTTAACACACTGCTCTGTTGTTCTGCTCAGCTGTAGCACTCCCTCATGTGAACCCGGTGTGGTTTATATGTTTTTTAGAGCTGAAGCTGATGTTCCCAAGCTTTTGTCTCAGCTGGCTGCATGGAAGTCATCTGCCCGAGCTGCTGAAGACCCCCCTGTCCTGAAGGAAAAACTACAGGTGATTTGTTATAACAATAACATTTACCTGTTCATATATTTGGTCTACTGAATATATTTGTCCCATATCTGTAGACCCTGGGTATGGAGCTTGCTGAAAACGAGGGGGCAGTGAAAGAGTTGGTGCAGAAAGGAGAGAAGATGATTGAACAGCTGGAGAAAGGTAGGGGATTATGAGTGATTTTCTGGATAAATGATGGTTCCTGTTTTCTCCTACTGATTAAAATCACTCTATCTGTCTATACAGCAGGTCTGTCTTCAGAGGAGGCCCGTTCTGGCCTGGACTCTGTGCATAAAGAATGGGAGAGCTGCCAGAACCTGATCCAGGATCTGAGGAATCGAGCTCAAATTCTAGAGCGAGTGGCAGCGGTTCAATCAGGACTGAAGGCTGTAAATGAATTCCTGCAGGAACAGGAGAAGTGGTTGATCTCCACAAAAGGGTTTAGAGCCAAGGACAACCAACAGGAACTCCAGGCACTCAAAGATGGCTGTGAGGTCAGTCAAATACCAGGCAATTTTTATGCAAGACACTTTACTCAAATCAGATGTTAAAGGGAATCTAGCAGTATACTCTTAAAAAATAAAGGTTCTTTATTGGCATTGATGGTTCCATGAAGAACCGTCAACATCTATAGAACCTTTCCATTGCACAAAATGGTGAAACAAAGTTCTTCAGATTATTTTATTATCAGATAAAAAACAAAACAAAGAACCTTTATTTTTAAGATTGCAGCAACAAGTTAAAACCCACTCTGAATGCCTTATGTGATTTTGCAGTGTAATGTAGAGTTGTTAACAGAGCAAATCTGTACTGTATGTACTGTACTGTGTTTCAGGCTCGAATAGCAGAGCTGGAAAAGCTTCAGCCGCAGGTGGAAGATCTCTGTTCTCAGACGGAGCGTCTGGCCACAGAACCTGGTGCCCCTGATACCATGAGGCCCAGTGTGACAGCGCTGGCATCACGCCACAGCACAACCATTCAAGAGCTCAAGACGCAGCAGCAGGACATCACTATAGGTATACATTTCCAAATTGCAGCCTTTACACTACGCTCTCATAACATTTAAAGAATGTCGCTCCAGCCTGCAATTTGAGGGAACTTGGGATTTTGAAAACCGGTAGTTGAGCTTTTCTATCTAAGCTACAAATATAGAGAAATGAAATCACTTCTGGAAAAAAAGAACAACACATTCTTAAAGGATTGCATTTAAAGGGACTATTTCAGCCAACAATGTCATCGTTTATTCACCCTCATGTCATGTCAACGCATGTTCATTCTGTCAAACACAAAATAAATTTTGAAGAATGTCCAACCTGCTCTTTCCATATTGTAAAATAGACTGTAACTGGTTCTGTCAAGCTCCAAAAATGACACAAAAGTACCATAGAAGTTTATGTGAGCTGTCCATTAGGCAGCACACAAACCAAAATGCTACCTCAAGTTTCAAACTCTCGACATAGGTAATCACGCCACAGCTAGCGCAGGAGACGCAACTCACAATTGATTTCAGTAGAGCAGTTAGCATGTTGCTAAGCTAACAATGTGAAACCAACCTCATGGTAAAGTAAAGTGTCCATTAGATGCTCATTTGAGAACCTCACCAAAAGTTGTAGATCATCCAGAGCCCTAATTTCTAATATTAGTACATGGTGCTAAACAATGCCAAGTTTTTATTCTCTGATAAAATGTCCTTTAATTTTGAAGTCACTTTGGATAAAAACGTCTGTTTTTGTGTTGCGAGTACAACTACCTTAAATGCTGCCTAAGTAGGCAGTTCACTAGTTTTTGGAGCAGATCTACAGAAAGATTGAGGCTCACTGAGATTTTTATAAGTCCCGGGGCTTGAATTGGTGCCAAGGGGTGCAGTACCTCTGTTTCTCTGTCTCTGTTTCTCTTGTTCTCTTCAGTTTTATTTAAAGACAGAAATAGTGACTTATGCAACAGGTAAATCATTTGTGGAGCCAACAAGAGCAGAGCCAGAGTGAGAGAGAGCAGTCTATTTATGGCTGTAATGTCAGCGTGGCCCATGAGAAAGCTTTTATACACTGATAAACCTCTGAGTGTGTGTGTGCTAGAAAGAGCTCCAAGTAAGAGTACATCAGTGTTTAACCTTAAAGCTTGAGCAAATCTCTCTCACACCCACTTTTAGCCAGCCATGGAAATGAGGGCATACCATAGACTTCTATTGTTTTACATACAACTAATTATGACTATAGACTGACCCCATTCTGAAAACCTTTCAGAAATAAATTTGATTAAACCAGAATGAAAATGGCAACAATAACAAAATGTTTCTTTCTTAAAAATAGTTTTTCCTAATTGAGAACATTCCCAGATCTCCCAAAGTGATGTTTTTTTCAAATTTAGCGAACTTCTGGGACCATTTTGTGCTCAAAGTGTGGTTAAATAAACACACAAACATATTTGCTTAGCTGATTAACATACCATAGACTACTGATATATGTATGTAAAGCTAATTGTTGCTTTATATAAATAAAGCCTACAATTAGCTAAAACAGCTACAAAGTACAGCACCTTAAATCGTCAACCTGCTATCTTGACACACTTCCCACATCTTTTTTCAAAAGTGTGCTTAACTGTTTAGAAGCAGATCTCTTAGAAGTGGTGAACTTCTTGACTTGATTTTTCCAAACTCCCTGAAAACTGCAGTTGTTAAGCCCCTTCTGAAAAAGAGCAATCTTGATAACATCATATTTAGCAACTATATATAGACCAATATCAAACCTTCCTTTTATAGGCAAGATTATTGAAAAGGTAATTTTTAATCAGCTGAACAAATACTTAAACTCAAATAGATACCTGGACAATTTTCAATCTGGTTTCCGACCGCATCACAGCACAGAGACAGCGCTCATTAAGATAATAAACGATATTTGCTTTAATTCTGATTCTGGCAAATATCAGTTGTGGTACTACTAGATCTTAGTGCTGCGTTAGACACTGTCGATCATAGCATACTTCTAGAGAGACAGGAAAACTGGGTCGGGCTTTCTGGGATGGTACTCAAATGGTTGACTCAAAACTCATCTGTTTAGCTGTGCATTTATTGAATGAGCACTGTGCGATGTCCGAACTGATTGCACTGTATTTTATGTATAATCATTTTCTATTTTTAACTGCTTTAAATTCATTTTAAATCAATTTTTAAATCATTTTAAAAGTGTTTAAGTTCCTTGTTTTATTGTTGTGATTATTTTTTATGATTATTTTACTTCCTTTTATGTAAAGCACTTTGAATTACCATTGTGTATGAAATGTGCTATATAAATAAACTTGCCCTGCCTTGCCTAATTATAATGACTAGCACAAACCCTTATCCCTTAAAGAAAACATGCATTATTATTACTTTATTTATTAATTATTTTTGCCTTCAGGGATGTCCTCAAAAGGAGTTTTTGTCTCATTCATTTTGTGCAATTTTTCAGCAGTTTTGTCCCCAAGGTATGGCTGCATTAAATATAAACAGTTGTATGTTCGTGGGACAATCGGAAAGCTAATGTTCCATGATTTGACCTGTTGACCTCTAACATCTGGGATTCAAGCTAAGCAAACGCACACCCACACACAATGACAAACGCAAATGAGCCGCAGGCAGTTATTTTTGGTCTCCTCTCTGATATTCAACAAATAAACATCTTGACGGAGCCGGTTCACATACATTATTAATCACAAATGTCAAAATCCAACAGAGATTATTTTAGTGATGTACTACAGAAGAGGAAGCAAGCATCCAGATGTACAGTAAATACCACATGTGTCAAGGGGCTGTTGTTTTTGTTTTGGGTAGTTATGTCAAGCATTGTGACATGCGGTACTCCTTATAGCAATACTATATATATATATATATTTATATATATATATATATACATATATATATATACTCAGCAAGCAATTTCATGGGGTCTTAAGTCAACATATTCTATATATAAAATATATATATATATATATATATATATATATATATATATATACATACACACACACACCACTCAGAGGTTATTTTTCTTATATCATATCATAGCTCTATAGCATATCATGCCATAGGTTGTATATCATATATTCCAATAATGGGCCTGTATCATACCATATTATGCCATTTATCATATATATAATATACTCATTCATATCATATCATATATTGTATTGTGTCATATAGTATCATAACATATGTGTAATTTGGGATATACTGTATGACATATTCATTCATATCATATAATATAGTATATAGTATATGATACATATGTCATTTGGCTTATATATCATAGCATATATCTTAAAATGCAGTTTTATGGACATATTATTTGACACAGAAAGACTGAATATTTGTTTAAAAAATGCAAAACCGCTAAAATGTGGTGAAAAGACTGAATAGTGACCAGTTACAGCATCAAAACTTATACTTTCTCTTAATAATTTTTTGTAAATCAATATGAATTGGATTTGTGTGTAATTTGTCGTTGTGTGTCTGTAGTTTTGTCCAGGCTGGTGGTGTCCAGAGCGCTGCAGCAGATGGAGTCCAGACTGAACACGGCCAGCGCTGATATCAGAGACATCACCACAGCTGAACAGGGAGTCATTAAAGCTCAGGTGTGTGTGTGTGGGTGTGTGTGTGTGTGT